GAGTGTCTGTCTTCGGCTCAGGTCGTGATCTCCAGGTCCTGGGATCAAGTCCTGCATTAGGCTTATTGCAGACAGCCTGCTTCTCCCTCTGCTTGTGTCTCTGCCTCTCTCTGTGTGTCTCTCATGAATAAATAAATAAAAATCTTAAAAAAAAGAACAGTCCTTTCCTTTCTCTTCTCCCAATTTAGCTCTTGACAAACTCCCAGTCACCCATTAACCTAGCTCAGACATCACTCTCTCAATACGGTCTTCCCTTTCGACCCTGTCTCTGTCTTTTGTACTTGTTTTTATGATTCTTGGTGGTGATGATTTGCTCCCAATGTCTGCCTGCATTCTCCCTCTAGTGGGCAGCACCCAGCCCTCACTTAGTTTGGAATCCTGGGTGCCTCATAAGAGCTCCTGGCATACAGCAGGTCCTTCATAAAATTTTATTGAAATGAACTGGGTTGCATTTTACTAAGTTGGAGTGTAGAGAAGACTCAAAGCAGCTGAAGATCCTAACTGAACCCTGGCTTTTATGTCAATGTGGAAAAGGGAAACGTTCTTAGAGAAGGGGGAAATGATAGGAGCAATGCCCCAGAGGGGAGAATGAGCCAGGTGAGAGCTGGGGACTGTGGATGATCATATCTGGCTAGAGTAGAGGGTGTAGAGTGGAAAGTGTTGGGAAATAAGGTCAGAAAGGCAGGCAGGGCCATGTTGTGGAAGACTTTGAATGTGAAGCAAAGGAGGTAAAACATGACGCAATACATACTGCAATTCAAGAAAATAAAAATTTAGAACTATCCCAAGTATCTGTGTAGAAAATGAGCTTTATCCCTCATCCTCCCTTTTGGAACTTACATTGTTACTGTTAGTATGTCACTTGTCCCAATTGGCCTGGAGTCATCTGAGCATAATAGTCTGAGGTTTGAACCAGAGTGTGATGTGTTGGGAGTCAGAAGCTCTGGAGTTGAGTTTCCGCTCTGGCACTAATTTGTTACCTGATATGGTGAAATCACCTCACCTCTCTAATCCCATGTTCTCATCTGTAAAATGAAGCAGAAGGTGGATGATATAATTCACAATGTCCCTTTGATCTCTAGGAGTCTCTCTATGTAGCAAAATACTAATACTTAGGTAACTTATTAATCTATCTTTGCCCCTTGGTTTTGTTTGTTTGTTTACCTGTTCACTGGGTTTCAGAGTTGCTTTATTAGACTGGTCTCTGACAGTCCCACAATCTGCTCTGCTGAAACCAGCCTCTGTGGTCTTTGCTACTATGTCACACGGAGAAAACCCTCCCCAACCTACCACCCCTCCTTAAAAACCCAGCTCCAGCCCAACATCTTTCTTAAAGCTGTTCCTAATCTCTCCGAGTCTCTGATATTTATTCCTTGCTTTTGGTGTTTCAAGATATTTTGTCTTGAGTTATTCTTTGTTTCATATTGACTTTTCTCTCTCCAGTCACTCTGTAAACTTAAAATAAGGAACTGTTATATGCGGTATCTGTTCCTCTCCTTTACCCCACTCAACCCTGGTACAAAACTAGGCACAAAATAGACATTTAGTAAGGTTCTTAAATATTGAATGAATGATGTACAGGAAATATTACTAAAAATAGAAAAATGAAACCTTGACAAGGACATCAATAGGGCTTGGAATTAAAATTATGTAGCATATCAATGATTTTCTAGATGGTGTTTTGTATCTAGCAAAAGACTGCTTTGGGATAGGGTGATCTGTGAAGTTTCTGGTTTGTGGGCTTGTCTCAAATTAAAGAGTGGGTGGTACCAGGTCCTAGATATTCCAGCCAACTCAAGGAAAAGAGAATACAGAGAACTGTTTACTGAGTGACTTTGCTGTTGGACATGTCCCAAGTGCAGCTTGAGAACATCGGGCAGAGTTACCACCCTGCTGCCACAACCTCTGCCAACTTGGCTAAGAAGCAGTGAAGTTGACCTGTCTTTTGGCTCTGGAACAAGGCAAGGGAGCACACCAGCAGGCATGGGAAGGAAGAAGTTGTGAAACGAAAGACATGAAAAAGAGATGACTATGAGCCTTTTTCCTGTTTTTCCCTATTACCCTGAATCTCTCTCCTGCCTCCTGGATACTTGTAAAGTGGTATAAATCCGAACCTTGTACTTTATACCAGGTGAGGTATGGGGCTCTGGGGGTCTAGCTGGGGGTAACAGAAGGCAGTGAGGATCACTTTTGTTTCCTAAAGTGGTCCTATGATAAAAGGTTTAAAAATCACCATTCTATTCAGCTGAGGTCCTTAGCCTTGAAACAAACTAATGATGCTCAAAGCAAAATAGAGGGAAGTTCACTCACTGTTGGAAGTAATAGTTGAGTTCTAGATCTAGCAGGGTTGGAGCTCTCTTGATTGTAAATTAGCTCACGGGAGTTGGAACTCCAGATCCTGCTTTTGCTCTCAAACTGCCTCAGGCCTCAGCCTGTTTCTCATAGGAAAGTCTAGAAACCATGGATTCATTGTATGCCCCCACCCTTTCTGACATGCCCCAAAGCTCTTAGGGTTTCTAACAGAAGAAGGGGGCATTGCATTGATTTGTCTTACTGTGTGTGGAAAATGTAGGAATAACTCCCATGTGTCATCAACCATTCAGTCAGCACTTAGTTCCTTAGCAGGGGAAATGGTAAGATTTATTAGGGAAAGTATCTGTCATACCATATAAATAGATGCACAGTTAAGGCAGATGCAGCAGGCAGGGTGTACGTTTCTGTGTGCCTGAGCATAAGGAACTCATTAAGAACTCTTCGGAAAAATCAGTCATTTGGGAAGATGGCAAACATAAGGATACACTTATATTTTGATGCAAAATATTCCTCAAAACAGTAATTTTGGCTCTAAATGCATTATTGGGGTACAAGTAATTTTAATTAAAAATGCTTTTTGCTTTAGTGTTTTACTTTTGAGAAAACAAATGCGAGTGATAAAAGCAGCCCAAGAGTAGGAAAAGGTACATAAAACAGGTCTCTTTTCCACTGCTGACCCCAGGCCCCAGCTTCCTCCCCCTTTAGAGATCATCATTATCCATTTATTTTATATCATTCAGAAATATTCAACACAAGATGACCCTCCTTTTTCGTTTTTACACAAATGGTAGTCTACTTGTCATATTCCTCCACAGCTTACTTTTTTTTCCTTAACAGTATGCCTTGGAAATCATTCCTTATAGTCTGTACATATGGCCAGCCTCATTGTTCTTAACAGATTTAACTGATGTTGACATCTTGCCATAATGGCTTTAGGGTTTTTTTGTTTTAACAATACAGATATATTTTAACCACAGCCCCATTGCCCAGTTCTGTTGCTCTCTGCCCAAAGGTAATCACTATTCCCCAATTAGCATGTATCCTTCCTGCCTGGTTGTCATATATTTACTATGTTTGTATTTAGTATTTCATTGTGAGACTCTGGCACCACAATTTATCCACAATTGTGTTTTTGAACATTTAGTTTGTTTTCAAGTTTTGCTGTTTAATAAATACAATGCTACAATGAACATTCTCTTTTATGTCTCTCTGGGCACATGTATGTGAATTTTTTAGGATGTATATCCACAAGGAGAATTCTAGGTCACAGTGCATGTGCATACCAACTTCATCTGATATTGCAACATTATTCACCAGTGTGGCTTTTAGCAATGCACATTCACACCAACCACATTTAGAAGTTTTTTTCTTTCTCTCTTTCTTTTGTTTTCTTTCTTTCTTTCTTCTTTCTCTTTCCTTCTTTCTTTCTTTCTCTTTCTTTTCTTTCTTTCTCTTTCTTTCTTTCTTTCATCTTTCTTTTTTTCTTGCTTCCTTTTTTTTCTCTTTTTCTTTGTTCCTTGATTGTTTGCTTTCTTTGCTGTTATTGTTATTGTTGTTGCTACATTCTTACCAACACTTGGGCTTCTCAGACTTCTAAAATGTTGCCAAGCTGATAAGGATGAAATAGTACCTCATTGTGGTTTTAATTTGCATTTATTTCTGAAGGTATCTTTTCTTAGTTTTTTGGCTATTCAGTAGACTCTATAAATAATTATCGAAAACTTTGACAATTTTTCTACCATATTACTTGTTTTTCCTTATTGAGTAGTAGGGATTATTTTATGTTCTGGATACTAATACAAATAATAGTTTGTATTATAATTAATTTCTCCTAGTCTGTGGCTTGCATTTTTACTATTTATGGTGTCTTTTGTCTAATGCAGTTTTATATTTTAATGTATTGAAATTCTTGCTGTAATCATTTGTGCTTTTAGTTTTTTGTTTAGGAAACCCAAAGAAATGTAATGAGGACATTCTCTTATACTTTCTTTATAACTTTTAAGATTTTCCCCCATACATTAAAATTTTTAATCTGTGTGAGCTATATTTTTATTATGGTATGAAGTAGAGATCTAAATACTCCCTCCCAGGATATGCACTGGCTATGACTGGTTCTCTTGGCACCGTTTATCTAATGGTCACCATTCCCTGCTGACATGTAAAGCCATCTCTGAACCATTCCAAGTTTCCATATATGTATAGGTCAGTATTGACTTATTTTTTTCATTATGCTCATTTGGCCTGTTTTTATATCCTTGTCTCAATACTGCACTATTTAAATAACTGTGGCCTTATAATTAGCCTAGTAGGGCAAATATCCACTTAGTTTCCTTTTTCAAAAATTTCTTTGCAGTTTTGTTTTAATTACTTTCCACATGAACTTTAGGGTAGGATTGTTAAATTCCATGGAAAGTCTTGTTGGGATTCTGATTAGAATTATAATGATTCATAGATCTATTATAAATTCATGGGGAGAGCTGCTGGATTTACACAATTATATCTTTCAATCCTTCAGTGTCTTATCACTTATCCAGTGCATCTTTTACGTAATGTTTTTTTAATTTTACCAAATAGTCTTGAATATATTTCCTTGGATTTTTGCCTAGGTATCTACTGTAAATGAGACATTTTATATAAATATACATAAATATATTATTTTTTCTTTTACACTCTAAATATATCCAGAATGCTGAATTCTCCTATTTGTTTGAATTACTTACTTATAAATTCTTTTGCAATTTCTATGTAAATAATCCCATGGTCTGCAAATATGAGAAATTTTCTTTCCTTCTTTCTTCTCCTTCTTCTCCTTCTCCTTCTTTTTTAAAGTGTCACACTGGCTAAGACTCTATACAGTGTTTAAGAGAAGTTATGATAACAGGTATCCTTGACTTGCTCTTGACGCTAAAGAGCACATGTCTAATGTTTTACCACTAAGTAAAATATTTTCTAGGGGTTTCTGATAGATACATATAGAAGAGACTGCCAACTCCCTCAGTTTTGGTTGGTTCTCTCCTTTTTCTTAAGTAGAATCTCTTTCTTTCTTCTTTCTTTCTTTCTTTCTTTCTTTCTTTCTTTCTTTCTTTCTTCTTTCTTTTTAGAGAGAGAAGGGCTGAAGGAGAGAAAGAGAGAATCTTTTTTTTTTAAGATTTTATTTATTTATTCATGAGAGACACAGAGAGAGAGAGAGGCAGAGACACAGGCAGAGAGAGAAGCAGGCTCCATGCAGGGAGCCCAATGTGGGGCTCCTGGGACTCCAGGATCACACCCTGGGCCGAAGTCAGGCATTCAACCATTGAGCCACCCAGGCATCCCTAGAGAGAATCTTAAGGAGGCTCCAAGCCAAGCACATAGAGTGATGTGGGGCTCTGTCTCACAAACCTGAGATCATGACCTGAACCGAAATTAAAGAATCAGATGCTTAACTGACTGAGCCACCCAGGTGCCCCAGAATCTTTCAATTTTATCTGAAGATATGTCTGCCAAGAAAATGCCTGCATTTCCCAGCCACCTTCAACTACATGAGGGCACATAACTTAGTTTCTGCCATGGGAATGTAAGTTTGCAAATTTCAGTCTATCCCTAAAGGGAAGCACTTTCCCCCTTTCTACTTCCTGTAGCCTGGAATGCAGATGTGATGACTGGAATGGGAGCAACATTTTGGACTTGAAGTAATCTTAGAAATAAAGATTACATAACACATAACAAAATGATAGAAGGAATTTGGCTCTGAAACATCTAACTAGTCTTTTACATGAGAAGTAAAATTTTGTATATTTTGGAGGGTTTTTTTTTGCCACTAATAGCCAAGCCCAATCCTATAACACTCTTCACCAGGATAATGAGGTTGTAGTCCATTCCCAGCTTGCCAGTAGTTTTTCTTTTTTCCATAAATTGCACTTTTGAAAAGTATTTATTTATTTATTTATTTATTTATTTATTTATTTATTTATTTAAAAGACAGAGAGAGAGAGCGAGAGCGAGTGCATGGGGGCAGGGCCAGAGGGAGAGAATCCCAAGCAGACTCCCTGCTGAGCTTGGACCACCCCCCCCCCAACCAGGGGCTTGCTCTCATGAGCCTGAGATTGTGACCTGAGTGAACCAAGAGTCAGATGTTTAACTGACTAAGCCACCTAAGTGCCCCCATAAACTGTACTTTTATAATTGCTCATCCATACTGATGAGCTGAATTATATTGATAGATTTCTTTTAGCCATCTTTGGAATTCTGTCATTATATACTTTTAGAGGTTGTAGATGTACAAAGATTTGATTTCTTACTTTTCCTAAGGTTTTCAAATGAAAAATTTTAAACTAGAACAGTTGGCCTGCACAGTGAAAACCCATATATCAACCACCTAGATTCTACAATTAATCTTATTATATTTGCTTTGTGCCTTATTTTTTATGATGTGTTATAAATGCATTACTTAATTTAGTTAGATAATATTTAAAAATATTCATGCACATGTGTTCAAGAGTGAGAATAACTAAATATTTTATTTTTTCATATTGTCTTTGCGCAATTTGGGTATCAAAAATATACTTCTCTCATACAATGAAGCAAGGATCTCTTCTGTCCTTTCATTGAAAATGTCTGTATGATACAGGAAATAAATTTTGAAGATTTGGTTGAACTCACCTATGTGGGTAAATACTTGGTTGGCATAGTGCTTTTTTAATGGGTATAGCTTTTTTTTTTAATTGATGTATAGTTGACATAAAATGTTATATTAGTTTCAGGTGTACAATATAGTAATTCAACAACTTCATATGTTATGCTATGCTCAACCCATGTAGCTACTGTTTCTTACCATACAACACTATTATAATACCAGTGATTACATTCTGTATGCTTTCATCCCCATGACTTATTCATTCCATAACTGGAAGCCTATACTTCCCACCCCCCTTCACTCATTTTGCCCATCCTTCTACCCCCTCCTCTCTGGTAACCATCAGTTTGTTCTCTTTGTATTGTATTCATTGTATTCTCTTTGTATTTATGGGTCTGTTTCTGCTTATGTTTGTTTGTTTTTAAGATTTTATTTATTTATTCATGAGAGACACAGAGAAAGAGGCAGAGACATAGGCAGAGGGAGAAGCAGGTCCCCTGCAGGAAGCCTGATGTGGGACTCAATCCCAGGACCCCAGGATCATGACCTGAGTCCAAAGGCAGGGCATGATGGCTCAGTGGCTGAGCCACCTAGGAGTCCCTGTTTGTTTATTCCTTTGTTTCATTTTTTTATATTCTACATACAAGTGAAATCATATGGTATTTGTCTTTCTCTGTCTGACTGACTTCACTAGCATAATACTCTCTGAGTCCTTCCATGTTGTTGCAAATGGCATGATTTCATTCTTTACAGCTGAGTAACATTCCATCATATGTATATACCTCATCTTCTTTATCCATTCATCTATCGATTGATACTTGGCTTGCTTCCATATCTTGGCTATTGTAAATGATGCTTCCAGGAACATGGGGGCTCATATATACTTTTTTGAATTAATATTTTCATTTTCTTTGGGTAAATACTCAATAGGAGAATTACTGGATCAGATGGTATTTCTATTTTTAGTGTCTTGAGGAACCTCCATACTATTTTCCACATGGGCTGCACCAGTTTGCATTTCTACCAACAGGGCAGAAGTGTTCCTTTTTCTCTGTGTCCTCACTAATACTTGTTTCTTGTGTTTTGGATTTCAGCCATTTTGACAGGTATGAGGTGATATCTCATTGTGGCTTTGATTTACATTTCCCTGATAATGAGTGATGTCAAGCATCTTTTCATGTATCTTTTGGCTCTCTGTGTGTCTTCTTTGGAGAAATGTCTATTCAGGTCCTCTGCCCATTTTTAATTGGATTATTTGGGGTTTTTTTGGTGTTAAGTTGTATAAGTTCTTCATATATTTTGGATATTAACTCCCTGTCGGCTATATCATTTGCAAATATCTTCTCCCATTAAGTAGGTTGCCCTTTTGTTTTGTTGATGGTACAAAAGCTTTTTATTTTGGAATAATCCAATAGTTAATTTTTGCTTTTGTCTCTCTAGCCTGAGGAGACATACTTAATGGGTACAATTTTTTTAAATTACAGATTCAGGGGGGTGGGGGTGAATGGGTGATGGGCACTGAGGGGGGCACTTGACAGGATGAGCGCTGGGTGTTATTCTGTATGTTGGTAAATTGAACACCAATAAAAAATAAATTTATTATTAAAAATTACAGATTCAATTATTTAATGGGCATAAATAAATATATGGATTGCCATTTCTTTTTCAAATCAATTTTGTGATTTGTATATCTCTAAAGAGCTGTCCATTTCATTAAATCATCAATTTTTTTGTGTAATGATATTCACTATATTTTCTAGGGCTTTTAAAAACTTTGACTCTCTTTGTAGTCATGGCCCTTTCCCCCTACTTTTTTTTTCTCTTTTTCCATCAATCGATTTTGCCAAGTTTGCCTATTTTATTAACCTTCAGAAAGAACTAGCTGTTGAGTCATTCGATTCCTTATTCATTCTCCCCTTTCATCTGTTTCTCTTCCTTTTGTTATTTCTTTTCTTCTGCATTCTCTGTAGTTAACTTTTTGAGGTATATGCTTCCTTCTCTTCTATTATATGCATTTAAAGCTCTGAATTTCTTACTAAATACTGCTTAAATTGCATACCATACATTTTGGCACTAGCATTTTAAGTGTCTGGACAGTGCTAAACATTTGGTAATTTTCATTACTTTTTCTCCCTTGCTTAATAATTATTTGGAAGCTTCTAACATGAGTAGGGCAGTTTAAGTATTATATTGATTTAAAATTTTATCTCATTGTTATCAGAGAACATGTTTTATATGATTTTGGGTCATTAGTATTCATTTGAAATTTGCTTTTTGACATACTATAGTAAATTTTTATGAATTTTTCACATGTGCTAGAAATAATGTATATTTTGAACTTTGGGTGTAGGATTACTTATGTTGTTTATGTCTTCTACAACTATAATATTGATTTACACACACACACATTTGAGGTTCCAAATTACTATTTCTTCAATGTGAACTATTCTATTTATCCTTGTATCTTTATATAATCACCCTCCTTTTGCCTTAAAGTTTAAAAATTGATTTTGATATTATTATTTTTTAAATTTTTGTTAAATTTTAGTATGTTATTCAGCATAATGACCTCTCCATCATCACTTTTTTTTCCATCATCATGTTTTAAGTGTATTTATTAATAAGTAGTACATGGTTGAATTTTTATTTTTTATTTATTTATTTTTTAATTTTTTTAAATTTTTATTTATTTATGATAGTCACACAGAATGAGAGAGAGAGAGAGAGGCAGAGACATAGGCAGAGGGAGAAGCAGGCTCCATGCACCGGGAGCCCGACATGGGATTCGATCCCGAGTCTCCAGGATCGCGCCCTGGGCCAAAGGCAGGCGCTAAACCGCTGCGCCACCCAGGGATCCCCATGGTTGAATTTTAAAAGCCCTTATGAAAATCTCTTTTAGTAGGCAAATTCAATATATTAATATTTATTTGTACTTTGATTATTGACCTATTTGGACTTTGTGCTATCATTATGTTGTTTTCTGTTTACCATTCTTTAATTTTGTTTTTTTTTTCCTTTTCTACTTTCTATTAGATTGATCTAGTTTTTTTTTTTTAAGACTTTATTTATTTATTTGAGAGCGAGAGAGCATTCACAAGGGGGTAGTGGGAGGAAGGAGGGCAGAGGGAAAGGGAGAGAATCCCAAGCTGATTCTGCACTGAGAGCAGAGCCTGAGGCAAGGCTCATCTCATGACCCTGAGATCATGACCTGAGCAGAAACCAAGAGTTGAATGCTACACTGACTGAGCCACCCATGAGTCCCTCGGTTGATTTAGTTTTAAAATGTATTTTCCTCTCTACTAGAACTTTGCTATTTTCCTAGAATTAGGATTAAAATTAAAAAGTCCTGTATGGAAAAAAAAAGTCATGTATGAGAATTAAACCACAAGCTTCCATACTGCTTTGCCAAGCTGAGTGGTTGGACTTTTCAACTTATCTTTCCATACTTCAAGGGTCTTCCTTCAAGGACAGTACTTGGGTCCCCAGAATCTATGTTTCAGGAAGCTCAAGGAGCTCCTTTATTCAGTTTCTGAACTTGAATAGAGAAGGTGGCCAAGGGCCTGGGCTGGGCTAAGGGCCAGGTCTTCTTTGCCCAAGTCCGGGGGTCAATATGACAGACAAGGACACCTGAAGAAAACCCTGAACAACTGAACAAGCACTATTTAGACCATCAAGTACATCAGAGGGTCAACTCACACTGAACCCACTATGGTTTTGTTTTTTCTTTTTATTCTAAATCCCTTTTCCCCCCTTTTGGCCTCAGCTATTTGTTAAAAAATTTTATTGAATTTTAACCAGCATTTCCATGTACGTATCAATCTGCTACACTCTAAAAAGCTGTGGTAGTTAATTTACTTATCTTACAGAATGTTTATAGGTTCCAAGTCTCACCTTCCACCTCAGATCTTTTAGTTTTTGTCTGTTTTCCTCAGCTTCTGCTTAGCCAACTTACAAGTAGATTATTATTTTTTTTCCCCATCTTACTCCTTGGCATTGATGATTCATTTTGAAGTTGTAAGTGACTGTTCTGGCCTTTCCTCAAATCCCCTTGTCTCTCAGATTGAGGCAGGGAACCCACCCTGCTGCCCTGTGCACAAGCCCTTGGATATCATATACCAATAGTCCAGGTAGGAAAGCTGAAGTTTCTGGGTGTGTGACCTTTCCCTTGTCTTCCAGTAGTTTCTAAAATGATGGCTGTGACAAATCTCAGCCTTCCTGGCTGCACACAGCCCTGGTTTTGTTGGAAACATACCCAGCTGGAAGCAGTTGACATGCCCAGACCTTTCAGCATTGGGCTTTCCAATATAACATGTTGGGGCCCTTATATCCTGTCGCTTCTTTTTGGCTAGGTGGCTCCCTCCAGTCACAGGCATTCCCTGGGCAGCTGTCTGAGTTAACATCTGAGTTTGGCCAGCACTGGCCCAGCTGTGGTTCCTGGCATTGCCACTCATGAGCAAATTCCCTAGTGAGCCCAAAGGGCTGCCTTGATTTATTTTTTAGGCATGATTATCTTGGAACAAAGCCAGCTTCGTAGGTATAAGACCAATGCAGTTATACTGGCTCCTCACTCAAAAAAATCAGTATTTGCATTAATACTCTGCTACTGCTATCTTGACATTTTAAAACAACTTTTGAATAAAATTTAAACGTTTCAATTTTGTACTAGGCTCCAAAAACTATGTATCCCTCTTCTTAGGAAAAACAGAGAACATCACTGGCTCTCAGAGAAGTGGACTGGCGCTTATTGACTAACCCAGCTTCTTAGGAGTCCAGGGCAACAAGTATTAATTAGGAGTAATTATTAAAAGATGTATTTTTAGGTGTAGTACCATATCCTGCAGAGCTTACATTATGGGAAGCTTCCTTCTCCATAAAGTATTTTAGTGCTTCAGGAAAGGGAGGTAGGTACACCTCTAGAATAGCCGTCCAATAGACCTTCCATTACATTAACAAGAATGTTAATGTTCTATATTCTTGCTGTCCAGGGTGGTGGGCACCAGCCACATGTGGCTACTGAGAACTTGCTATGTGGCTAGCATGAGGACCTGAAATTTCTAAATTTTAATTTTATTTATTTGTTTATTTATTTATTTTTAAGGGTTTTATTTGTTTATTCATGAGAGACAGAGAGAGGCAGAGACATAGGCAGAGGGAGAAGCAGGTTCCCCGTGCGGAACCCGATGTTGGACTTGATTCCAGGACCCTGGGATCATGACCTGAACCAAAGGCAGACACTCAACCACTGAGTCACCCAGGTGCCCCAATTTTAATTATTTTAAATAGCCATGTGGGGCCACTGACTACCAAACTGGACAGTGTAGCTATAGAAAAAATAATTTCTGACCTTTGAAACTTTGATTATATTTTGTACTGACTCCACATCAAGACTTAAAATTAGGCTTTGTCCAGAAAGGATTTTTAAAATTCAGATGTGGGCAGCCCTGGTTGCTCAGTGGTTTAGCGCCGCCTTCAGCCCAGGGCCTGATCCTGGAGATCCGGGATCGAGTCCCACATCAGGCTCCTTGCATGGAGCCTGCTTCTCCCTCTGCCTGTGTCTCTGCCTCTCTCTCTCTGTCTCTCATGAATAAATAAAATAAAATCTTTAAAAATAAAATAAAATTCAGATATAAGGCATATCTACAACTAGATAGGGGAACTCAAAGCACAGTGTTTTTTTTTTCTCGAGTATTGAGAAGATATCCTTCCTACCAATGAAAGCTAAGCCATGAGTCTCATTTCTAGAAGGGAAATCTTACATGGATGAATGAATTGTCTAAAGACTGCCCCTTCCAGTTTTAAAGGATTATGGAAGAAATAAGGAAGACAAAGAAGAAACAAGGTCAAAGGTCAGAGTCTAGGCAAGGAATGATAGTGAGGAGGTGTAGTGGGAGGTGAGTTGACAGATAAGCTTGAGCCATCCCTCCTGGGCCCACATGACCTGGTGTACAATGGATCCAGTAAGTTCCGTGTGTTTTGAGAGCACAGTACATCACAGGGCTCTGGTCAAAACAAAAACGTAGCTGAATAGGAACTTTGAGAAGGCCTTAGAACCACAGATTTCAGAGATAGATAGTACTTCATTTTAGAAAGCCACACCAGAAAAATTATACCTTAGTGGTCACCAGTCCAGGGAACAGAAAATCCAGGCGCTCCACTATTCACCAGTGAAGATCCAGATGATACTATCTCTGCTACCACGGGTCATCAAAACTCTTACGGAGCCCAATACACACAGATGTTATCTTGAAGGACACAAAGAGATGAAGAGAAAATTTGAAAGACCATTTTACTTAAAGAAATTAAAGAGAATTCACATACAGGAGTTATTGGTATTATTGAACTGAACTAAATTTAACTGAATGAGATAAATTTATGATTCTTTTTCATAGTTCCCTGTGGATGAGCAGATGTATTACAAGGAAATAAAGAAGCTTCATTTTCTTTGCACATCTAAGGGCAGAGTGAGGGAATTTGTAATTCTACTCCAAATATGTTTGCCTTCCTGCCAAGCCAGTTGCAGGCAACAATTCTGTTCACAAGCTTTAGCAGAGGTGGAATATGTGGCAGGAAGAGGAGTGAGGATGCTAACCTGCTGTTTTGAACATAGGGACCAGCATTATGAGAGAATTGGCCACTTTACTCATAGACACATGTCCTTTCTTCAAAGGTACTAACAACTTCACATGGGCAGTTCATTGGGGGCTATCCAGAAGGCAGTTTTTCTCTTATCACCTACCTGGACATGGAGAAGGTTGTAGATACTTCTGCATACTGGTCCAAGAGCTTTGAGAACAATGGGAGAAGCTCAGTCTGTCAGACTATGGTGTCATTTTGCCTGTGCAGTGCCTTACTCATCTTCTAGTGCTGAATGAATCACATCTGGAATCAAGGAGGCAAGATCTATTTGGGCAATATGCTAATTATTTATCTGGATCTAACATCCCATCAGTCCCTTGCCATACTGTAACATGTAGTCCCTCTGTGGGCTACATCTCCACCTGCAGGCCAACCCTGAGAAGTACATGTTCAAGAAAATGGAGGAATTTCTGGGTTGTGTTCTGTACAGCCAAGACATCTGCATTGTGATTCACATGTTCATGTCCTAGAGTAAAAACCCACATGGTTCATTACATATATTTAGCAATTCCTGAATTTATTACAAAATTCATTACATACTTATTTTCCTTGGCAGTTAGAATAACTGACACTGTCAAAAGGAAAGAAGGCTTTTTTTTCATTCTCAGAGGCAGATCCAGCTTTCCAATAAGCCTTGCATAATTCCTCCAACCTTCCACTAGCCTACCTGACTCAGCCCAATCTATATGAATGTCTGCAGCTATTCAGATGAGAAACATTAGACCCCAGAGGACCCAGCCCTCATGCCTCCACCCTCTTGGGGCTCCTTTCCTGGAAAATTGGCTTTTGGAAAAACTCAAATGTTCATCCTTTTTGGGAATGAAGATTACTTGTCATAGAGACTAGAGTAGCTAAGATAAGTGCAGAGATTCAGTTTGCATGAGTGTCATCTTTTCAAGTGCTTTAGGTTTACTATTTAATACCCAGTCCTGGAAAGGATAGAACCATGAATGTAGACCACAGCACCAATCCTGGAAATCATCTGGATGGGAATTTTGAGGACACCCAGTCCTGGCCATCAGGTACAGATAGGGGTCCAATAATTGGATTTTTATTATATCTAGGTGTAAGAAGAATAAAGTGGTTAAAAATTGGCTTTATTTTTTAAAAATGGGCTTTAAATTTACATTCTGAGGTTTCTTACTCCATTCAGGATTCTGTAACAAAATACTACAGAATTAGTATCTCTACACAACAAGAATTTATTGCTCAGAGTTCAGGAGGCTGGTAGTCTGGGTCATGGCGCCAGCATTGTCACATTCTGGTAAGGGCCTCTTACTGGTTCATAGCCAGCGCCTTCTCACTGTTTCCTCACATGGTGGAAGGGGTTAGGGATCTCTCTGAAGCTCTTTTATAAAGGCACTAATCCCATTCATGAGTGTTCTTAAGTACCTCCTAAAGGCTCTACCCCCAAAACCATCACTTTTGGGGATTAGGATTTAACATACGATTTTTCACGGGGACACATTCAGACCATAGCATGGATGAATGGTAAAGCCAATAGCTGCAGTGGAGAACACTGTGGGAGAAACAGGTTTGGGAGATAAGATCAAGTTCTATTTTAAAAAAATGTTCAACTTGAAATTCTAATTAGACATCTAATGGAAATGTCAAGTAGGTGGCATGATGTGTTTGTTAAGTCTGGAGCTCAGGGGAAACGTCAGGACGGGAGAATATATAGATCTGGGAATTATTGACAGGGAGATAGAAATGAAAGCCATGGGACTGGATAAATCTCCTCCAAACTGTGAGTGAGTGTATTTAAAGAACAGGAGAGGTTTAGACAAATTTAAAAATCAGGAATAAGTGGAAGGAGCCAGCAGACTAGGAAGAAGCCAAGCAGGAATGTAGGAGGAAGGCTGAAACAGTGTTGACTCAGAAGCCGGGTGGTCTACTGAGTCAAATGCTGCTGAGAGATCCAGTGAGGGAAGGACTGGGAATGGCTCAGTGGATTTAGAGGGATGGAGCTCATTGGTGATCCTGAGAATAAGGGCTTTAGTAGAGCTGTAGAGAAGAAAATGAATGGAGAACGATGAAAAGAGACTGAAGTGAGCAAGTGGAGACATTCAGCATTGACCACTAATTTTAGGAATGGTAATGGAGGTGGTTCTGAGCAGGGGGAGGAGGTAGATGGAGGAGGGCATAGATTCAGGGGAGGACAGGTTTTTTTTTTTTTTAAGGTGGGAGATATTCTAGCATTTTTATATGCCAACAGGAGCATATAAAGGAAGTATGGAAACCCTAAAGAGAGTAAGTGATGGAAAGTACAAAGCCTTTGAATAGGTTAGAGGGGTCCAAGGCTTAAGTGAAATGAAGTCTAAGAGGACCTGCACTCTAGTACAGTTTTTTCACCATGAAGGAAAGAGTCAAAAATTAGTAACCGCAATGATGTGAAGTTGTCATAGCTGTCTTCTGGTTGCTCCTTTCTTAGTAAAAGGAGAGATGAAGTCTCTTTCCACCAGCTCCACTAGCCCAGCTCACTGACACTCTGCCCTCAACCCAGAATTCCATCAATTTACCCTGACAACTGAGTTGGAAGACCCAAGAATTTTATGAAAGGTTTTGGATTCCCAGCAGTACCACAGCCAGCTCTGGTATTTTGACCATGAGTAGTGATGCAAGTTAGAGAACCAAACACAGGAACTTCCCCCACCCAGACTCAGAACCCGAACATGTAAGTCTTTTTAATCACCCACACTGGACAATGGAGTCTAGAGTGCAAAGTAGAAGAAGAACAAGGCCTGGTTAGCTACCTTAATTTCTTTTAGTTTCTACCTGTATACTCTATTTCTGACCTCCTTATTGTCAGTGGGTTTCCCAGTATTTCCTCATATTTAGATACTTTGGCATTAAGTGGTTTTTAATTTAGCCTCTCCCTAAGTTGCTTCCTCTTGAATTTCTTCCTCTTCAGCTCCAGGGAGACTCAGACAAATCCCAGGGTCCCAGCTACCATGTCCCCTCCCAGGTTTCCTGGCTCCTATGGTTAGGGAGAAAAGTCCTCCCATAAGTGGGAAAACATATAAAAAAGCTTATAAAATAGATTTTAGAAGGATAAACCTATGTCATCGTAAGGTGTTGTTGACTAATCCGAGCAGAACAGCAACAACAGAGCAAGATTTTGCTGTCATCTAATCCTCTTTATCCATTTCTAGCGCCCTCAGCCCCCCAGAAAAGCCTTCTACAGGAACAACACACTCCTTGGGAAAATGAGTCAAAGTACAGATAGAGTTTGGAGACAATGAGGGGAAAGAACGTTGCTTCCCCATGGAAAACCACATACATGTACACACACTTTGGTTACCATACATAGCAGCTACAATTACTGTACCATACAGATGAATGAATAGCAAGTTTGAATGTCTTTTTTTTTCTAGCAAGAATTTTACAACAAAACATAAAGAGATACATTAATTTAAAAAGAAAACATGCACAATTATACACAAGTATCTTCATTTGGTAAACAAGTTTTCTTTAGCCAAACGTTTCTGGAGAGGTATTTGGGCTTTTATTTGAATTAAGGTAGCTAAATAAACATACTTCTAGCTAAATGGGAGTCAGGGTGAATATTTATTTTCCTACATAATGTGTGACTAAACAAATGAGGCTTTTTTTTTTTAAACACTCCTTATATTGAAAGCCAAACCTTTAGTTTGTCGTGTGCCATGACTCAAATGCTTTAGGAACTTCTTATTTGAAGTACCTTCAGAGCTCTCTTTACACATAGGGTGATCAACCATCTGTTTTCCTGGGACTGAAGGGTTTCCCAGGATGTGGGACTTTGGGTTTTAAAACTGAGTAGCCTTGTGTCAACTTTCCTGGGTTACCTAGAACTGAAGGAGATTTCACTCCTAAAACTGGGAGAGTGCCAGGCAAAATGGGTTGAGTTTGGTCATCCTATTTGTAAACCTCACAAGAAATGCCAGCTCTTTGCTTTATAGTTGTAACACTGTTACTCAATTTGATCCCCTCCTTATTTTTAAAGACTTGGCTCTAACTATCTTTTGGCTATTGCAAAAGATCAAATTTCTCATCCACAAACAAATATGGGGTAGCACTCAAAATAGTCTGAGTTCAGAAGGCAATTTTAAAGTTTTTTTTAAAAAGATTTTATTTATTTATTCATGAGAAACATGGAGAGAGAGGCAGAGACACAGGCAGAGGGAGAAGCAGGCTCCATGCAGGGAGCCTGATGTGGGACTCGATCCTGGGTCTCCAGGATCTCACCCTGAGCCGAAGGCAGATGCTCAACTGCCGAGCCACCTAGGTGTCCCTCAGAAGGCAATTTTATAAACTTTTTCTTCCTTCTTTCCTTCCTTCCTTTCCATTTTCACCTTTCCGTATCTGGGTTACTGTCTGTAAAAGTATGTGTGTTAGTGGTGAACGTGATACACTCTCTCTTTAACCATAGTCCTGTCAGGCTCCTCTGACCCTCTTCTCTGCTAGGTCTCCACCTTGGCCCCCATCCTGTCTTTGGCCTGTCTATCCCAGTGTTAGCAAAAATGCTATTATGTTGTTTTTGTTTTTAAGATTTTATTTATTTATTCATGAGAGACACAGAGAGAGAGGCAGAGACATAGGCAGAGGGAGAAGCAGGCTCCCTGGGGGGAGCTCAGTGTGGGACTTGATCCCAGGACCCTGGGATCATGACCTGAGCCAAAGGAAGATGCTCAACCACTGAGCCACCCAGGTGTCCCTTAAGTTGGTTTAGTAAGAGTCCCCTTACCCTTGAATCTCCTCTTAGTAATTCTACATTTGCTGTCACATTCACTCTGCCTATTGGCTAAAACTCCCCTGCTGCCTTTGCTGTAATCTCTCCCCTACTACAGTGCTCTTATTGTAATTGTCCTGAATAAAGTCTTCCTTGCCAATATATTCCTTTTTATTTCTTTTTCTTTTTCTTTAATTTTTATTTATTTATTTATTCATGAGAGACACACACACAGAGAGGCAGAGACACAGACAGAGGGAGAAGCAGGCTCTACGCAGGGAGCCTGACGTGGGACTCAATCCCGGGTCTCCAGGATCACGCCCTGGGCCAAAGGCAGACGCCCAACCACTGAGCCACCTGGGCTGCCCGTCTTTTTTATTTTTTGAGTAGGCTCCCTGCCCAGTGGGGAGCTCAATGTGGGGCTTGAACTTATGACCCTGGGATCAAGACCTGAGCCAAGATCAAGAATCACTGACTGAGCCACACAGGT